GCACACAGATAAAGATTTCCTGTTGTGTGGTGTCAAAAAATCAATAGCTCCGTCGCGATGAGCTCATTTGATATCAACAATAGTCTTTTTAAAAGTCAATTAGGCTGCATGGGGAAGAACCAGTTCTACTGCTTTTTCTAATGTCCAGATTTCCCAGGTCTGCTTTACGGACACCAAGCTGCGCTTTAGTCAGAGGCATTTCTCAGTGTGAGTTAAATCGGCAGTAAAGTTGTAATAATCAACAATTCCTGCAGATTTAAACATCTGGACTTCTAAAGCTCTTGCCTTCCATCTTTAGCTGAAACTTGCTTGGAATTCCTCCCAAACTGGTGGAGTTTTTTTTTCTTTTTTACTTAATAAGCATTTATTATTAATATGACACATCAGTTAAGATAACAGCCCACCTGCAGGTTTAATTAATTTTCCCTCCAAGTTGTGGAGATGGAGCTGTTAATCTGCCACAGGAACAAATTCGTCCATCATGTTCTTCCCCGTGTGTCCCAGACAGTTTACAGAAGAAATCCACCATGACGGCGTTTACCTGCAGGAGGAACGCTGAGACCACGTCGCATTCACTGACCTCTGAGACCACGTTGCATTCACTGACCTCTGAGACCACGTCGCATTCACTGACGTCTGAGACAGCGTCGCATTCACTGACCTCTGATACCACGTCGCATTCACTGAAGGTATCAGTGAATGTGATACCTTCACTGAAGGTATCACTGAGACCACGTCGCATTCACTGAGACCACGTTGCATTCACTGACACCACGTCGCATTCACTGAGACCACGTTGCATTCACTGAGACCACGTCACATTCACTGAGACCACGTCGCATTCACTGACGTCTGAGACAGCGTCGCATTCACTGACCTCTGATACCATGTCGCATTCACTGAAGGTATCAGTGAATGTGATACCTTCACTGAAGGTATCACTGAGACCACGTCGCATTCACTGAGACCACGTCGCATTCACTGACACCACGTTGCATTCACTGACACCACGTCGCATTCACTGAGACCACGTTGCATTCACTGAGATCACGTCGCATTCACTGACATCTGAGACGGCGTTGCATTCACTGACCTCTGATACCACGTCGCATTCACTGACCTCTGAGACGGCGTTGCATTCACTCACCTCTGATACCACGTTGCATTCACTGGCCTCTGAGATGGCGTTGCATTCACTCACCTCTGATACCACGTCGCATTCACTGACCTCTGAGACGGCGTTGCATTCACTCACCTCTGATACCACGTTGCATTCACTGGCCTCTGAGATGGCGTTGCATTCACTCACCTCTGATACGGCGTTGCATTCACTGACCTCTGATACGGCGTTGCATTCACTGACCTCTGATACGGCGTTGCATTCACTGACCTCTGATACGGCGTTGCATTCACTGACCTCTGATACAGCGTTGCATTCACTGACCTCTGATACGGCGTTGCATTCACTCACCTCTGAGACGGTAAGTGAATGCGACTGACCTCATTAACCTCTGAGATTGTTTTTTTCATCCATCCATCTATATATTCCTCCATCATTCATCCATAAAGTTTTTATTCAGTTTCTTAGCGTAAATCGTTAGTTTTATCATAAATTATTGTGACTTTTCTTTGATCTATCTCAACCCTCTGTCAGTATTTGTCCGTAAAGTTTTTTCCCGTGATCGCTGTGGAACCATCTCCGTCCCTGCCCTTCCCGCTCCCTCTCACCTCCCTGAGACCCCGGCCTTGCCGCTCCTTTCCTCCACATCTCAGGTCTCTCTCCGGTTTCCGTTCCTTCCCTCAAAATAACTTTGATTTGTCTGATTTCACATTGATAGCGCGCATTAATTAAACCATCAGAAAGCAGCGCTGATCCATGAATCCGGTAACAACCTCATCCTGGTCTCCGCCACCTTCACCTCGACACCCCACCTCCTCCCTAATCCCCCAACCCCCATCACCGCCACTCCTCGGTTAATTGTGTTAGTCATTTCATTAATGATGGCTGATTGTTTTATTGTGTTGGCTCGTCAAAGAGGCCTGGACGCCCCACTGGCTGCCGAAGCGTCTGTATCGGTAAGCCTTTGTGTGTGTGTGTGTGTGTGTGTGTGTGTGTGTGTGTGTGTGTGTGTGTGTGTGTGTGTGTGTGGGTGTGTGTGTGTGTGTGTGTGTGTAGCCGCTGACATGGGGTCGTGTGTGTGTGTGTGTGATAATGAGCCTTGCGCGTTCAGGAATGGGTCGTGTGTGTTTGTACCTCACATGCTGAGTGTGGCAGGGAAGGGGAGGTCGCGCGGGTCACTGAGGGGGTCTCTGGCTGACAGGGGGTAATTAGCAGGGATTAGGATTGTTGGAGGCCTCCCCTACCTCAGTGGAGCCGCTAACCTGTCGGGATTATCCAGCTGCTCTCATTAGTGGAAATGCAGTGATAGCAGCTCCACTGTCTGCATCTGTAGCGACGCTCTTCCCTTATGTCGCTTCATTAAATATAACCCTCTCCAGGTGATATCACAGAGACATAAACACTCCAGTTTGACTTTAGGCAACATTTACCAGTTTTTAATTAATTTTTTTCTATTTCACACTTACTGAGTTTAAGAATTTTTATGTTAAAATATACTTTTTTGGATTATTATAAAAAAGATGCTGCTGAGCTACTAAGTAGTTACACTGTAAAAACACAAATGTACTTTTCTACATAAAGCCAGGTTGGTTTTGAAAGCCTTATTTCCTCTTCAATTAATAAAATAATGGTTTATCCAGAAATCTTCCTGAAAGGTCACGGCGGGAGCAGACTCTAGGTTAATATCTGAGTTTCTTTACTGAGGTCAGATCCTCATGAGGTTTCACAATGAGGGTCAGAGGCGCCGCTCGGCCCGATAAGCGTCCCGTGTGGCGAGGATTGGCCAATGGCAGGACTGGACATTGATGGAGTGCGGAGATAAGCGGGGTCAGCGCGGCCGACCGTGGCCCGGTCAGACGATAGCAGACGGGATGGAGGCCGGACTTTTGGACGCGTTCGTCCCGGTCCGGTCTGAGTCGAGCTCAGAGTTTCCTTCTGAAAAGCGCCGATCCTGATAACGCAGATAGCATCAGCTCCATAAAATGCGATCGCGCCGGCACCTGTGTCTCTGCGAGTCAGGAGGAACGAACCACTTCCTGAGCGATTTTTACCACAAAAGTGTTTCCGACAGAAATGGCAATGTGTTCAGCTTCTGTCTGACTTTCAGGCCTGTTTTATTAACCCAACGCCTTCTTCTTTCCTGTTCCCTCAGTGACCCCCCCACAACCTCCCAAACCCCCCCGGGGGGCTGTGGGAAAGCCATTTTATCAGCGTCTGTCCGTTGTTCTCTGCTGGGGATAGATACAGAGAAGATAGATGAGTGTTTTGACATGGAGAGTGTTAGACAAACACTCTTATCTGGCCCGCCACTTTAGACCGACCCCCCCGAAACAGCAGAGGAGGAGGGGAAGGTGGGGCAGGTTGGTTTCTGTTTTGATCAGATGAAGAGGTCAGGTCCAAAGGCTGCTCAAATAATCTGTAAATCCCATCCGAACCCTCACCACTTCCTTCATTTATCCTCTTGATTTTTATGATTTGGTAGCAGGGGTGAACGACTTTAAGCCAAATCAAACATATTCTTTTACATGTTTGTTGAAACTGTCATGATACTTTACTATGAGACGCAATTTGTTCTGCTTTCTCCCAGTTCAATAGAAATAACCAATCAGAGCCAGGAGGCGGGTCTTAGTGTTGCCAATCACCTGTTTCTTTGCCATTGCTCATTGCTGCGCTACAGCTAGCATAGTTTGTTGTGAATGCTCAAGCTAGTTGGCTTAGCCCCAATGATGGTCGAACATTTAGCAGCGAGTACATGAAAATGATTGATAGCATACATAATTTATATATAATTTACAATTTTGCTAAATTACTGATCTGAATATGTTATTCTTTTATCAAATGGCCTGTTTGTGAGTTTGTGGACTGCAGTTAATGATTAATCGATTAACTGTGTGTGTTCACTGGATGGAAAGGTTAAAAATTACCTTTCTATGATTCTCTTTCCCAAACTCGGGCCGTGGGTTGAGTCTGGATGGATGGGTCCGCCGGGCCCACCGGCTCTATCTGGGCTGCAGCAGGCTCCGACCGCAGCCGTCACCGCCATTCGTCTGCGCTTATCTTTTCACTTTGAGGAAGTGGACAGGAAGTTTCTCCCCCCCGGTTTGAGCCGGTGGGACAGAGAGAACAGGGCTGGCTGGGGTCAGACGCCCCCTGCTGGCCGGACGGCGGCACGCCATCTCCAGGGGTTTCGGGTCGGCTTCTCCGGAGAACGAGGAAGAGGATTAGGGCCGCAGAAAACAATTTTTAAAAGATTCTGGATTGAGTCTGTAAACTCAGAATCCTTCATTTTCTCCAATAATTCAGAATTTTCTCCCTCTGTTTTGACATTTTTTCTCAGAATTCAGACTAATATTGTATTCTAACCTTTTCCCAAAATTCTGACTTTAAACTGAGAATTCAGAAGTTTTTCCAAACATTTTGACTTTTTTCTCAGAACTTTCTCTTTAAGCTCAGAATTGTGAACTAACTTTTTCTCAAAATTTTGATTTTAGTCTCAGAATTATGACCTTTTTTTTCTCAAAATCCAAATTGCATCAAATTGTTTTTGAGCCATCAAGTAAATCTAGTCTTATAATTCAAATTTAACAATTAAATTTCAGTGCAGCAATAGTTAGTATATTATTTTCATATACTAAGAAAATAATTTCCATCCACATCAGAATATTTGTTTTGTTACTCGGATTTTGACATAGATTGAGTATTAATTATGAAAAAAAAGCCAGTTTCTGAGGAAACAAAGTGAAAACTCTGAATGTAAAGTCTGAATGGCGGTCCTGATGTAGAGTTCGGCTGCGGCGGCGTTTTTCCATCCGGGTCGTTAAAACTTAAACTTGTTAAACCGAGATGTTGAACTGATGTCATCCTCTCCGGTTCTTCGCAGATGAGCTGCAGCTGAGCGATGAAGACGGTGGCAGCAGCGTGGTGGCGGTCAGAGACCTGCAGCCCGACACCGTTTGGGGCCCGGTGCCGGGAGTCCTCCAATCAGACGGCAGCACAGAGGTAAGAGCTGCTTCTGCTGAGAGGATGAGTGAACCCGACCGACTGTCTCTGAGCAGCTGCAGCTTTAAAAAGTTGGGACACCCCATTAAATCATTTCCAAATTATGATTTATTAAAATAAATTCACAATGATATGTGAATTTGCAAGAATGATGCAAGAATTAAGTCTTAATATCACCAGATTAAAGTCAAAATATTTAAAAAATGTCTGGATAACAAGAAAAAACGTCTGAAAATTAAGTCATAATATTAAGAGAATAAAATTGTACCACAGTAAATGAGAATAATGGCAGATAAAGCTGTAATAATACAAGACAAAAAGTTGTAATAACACAAGAATAAAGCCATAGTAAGAAGATAATTCTTGCATTGTTACAACTTTATTCTGGTCAGATTAAGACTTTTTCTACGACTTTATTCTCCTATGATTGCAACTTTTTTGTTGATTTTGTTATGACTTTGTTGTCATATTTTGGCTTTTTAAATGTATCATTACAACTTTATTCTTGTTGCATTTTGAGTTTATTCTTGTGTTATTACTACTGTAATATTTCAACTTACAGTAGTACGACTTTCTTCTGATAATATTACGACTCTGCCTCTTTCTTCTTGTATTACTTCGTCTCTGGAGTCTATTTGCTCCGAAAAACATCTGCATGCAGCATCTTGCGTCTGTGCAGACCTTCTGCTGGTGAGGTCATTGGTCAGCAGTGAGACAGTGAATGTAAACATCGGTATCATGTCAGCGTGTGAGAGCGTTGGAAATGAAAACAAGCCGGGCGTTTGTGTGCGATCCTTGGGAAGAGCGTGTGGGACCGGATGGAGCGCTATCAGAGCCTGACTCCGTGCATCATGTGGCGTCCATCTAATCATGTGATACCGATGTCGAGTGAGGCTTCCTGGACCGATGCACGAACACCGCTTCGTTCCTCCCCAGATTCTTCCCGGTGATCCCGCTCTTTTTCCTTTCGGCTCGGTTTTTAGCCTGACCGGGAAGTCCAGATCCCGACCCGTCCAGAACCAGGCTGATGTTATCCCGGCCCTCCTCCCGTTGCAGCCTCCTCCCCAGACGTCCGCCTGTCTTTTATCTCCTCATGGCGCCATCCTCCTGGACAACAAACCCCAGTGATTGATTCCTGCTTGATAGGCTCTCATTTCTAAGATTTCATTTATTATCAGTGCAGCTCTGAGTGTACAGATAGATCAGTGTGTGTGTGTGTGTGTGTGTGTGTGTGTGTGTGTGTGTGTGTGTGTGTGTGTGTGTGTGTGAGTTTCTAACCCATCACCTTTCGTTCTTCCCTTCCTCTCCTCCTTTTTCTGTCTGTACAAGTGTTTTTATTCACATGGAAAGCGTCCCATCCTGACTGTTAAAAAACCATTTTCGCTTTCCCATCCTTGCGCTGAAGGAGCCTTCGGTATCTGCAGGAGATAGTGGCTTTAATCTCACATTCCTCCTGTGTTTCTCCCCACTGTCACTCCACGTCCGCCCCGGCCCCTCCCTCTGGAGTCAGCAGGGGTCAGGGCCGTCTCATCCCGAACGCTCCTTGTGTTTTGGGATGAGCCATCTCTTCAATTTCTTAATTGGAGCCAAATTTATTTAATTCTTTTGTCCCCAAAAATGCAGCTGATGTAAATAATCTCACAAAATATGACGGCGCAGCCTCTTTAAAGGGGATCTGTTGTGCAAAATTTACATTTTGAATGTTTTACACTTTCATTTGGATCTCGACTGCTTTAAAAAAAAAAAGGCACAAGCGCTTAGAAAATGGCAATAAGTTAACTTTGTTTGTTGTCTGGAAATGTAGCCGTTTAAAAAAACCAGTGACATTCAACAGGCGCCGTTACCTAGCAACCACAGCAGAGTTCCGCCCGTTACCTAGCAACCCAAGCTGCGCTCCAGTTCAAATGGTCAGCTGGTTTTACAGCTGCACAACAGCTGCTGGGAAAGACAAGTTTTTGTTGTTGACTTGCTGCATTCTTGATGGTTGCGCAGCAGGCTCCACTTCTGCTTTTCAAAGATGTACGGTTGTATAATTGCGCATCTGTGTGCAGCCATTTTCATGTGCGAGTGTAAAACTTGAGTTTGGAGTCTTGTCCCCCAGCAGCTTATTTTGATTTAAAGTGACAAGAGACCCTTAACAAGCTAAAATGTCTTTATCTGAGAATAATTGTGTGCAAAAAATGTAACAAACATGTTTGGAAAGGCCACAGACCCATCATAATCTGTTCTAGGATACAGTGCATAATGTTCTCAGACTTGGCGGTGAGATTTTACAGATCAGCTCCAATTCCTTCAAATGAGGGAGCTCATGAATTTGTTGCTAACTCGAGGAAGGGGCGATGCGCTTTCTCTTCCTGGTTTTAGTCAGAACACCAGCAGCAGCGTTCTGGATCAGCAGCAGCTGGATTAATTTTGGAAGCCTGCCACCTGTAACCTCCGCCGTTCTGCCTCACCAGACCGTCCTGGTCCTCCTTCCCTGCTGCTGCGGCTTGCTGTGAGGCCCATCATCTCCCATTCATCCCAGCAGACCCTCGCAGAGCGCTGATGGTCGATTTGGACCAATGAGGAGTTGCCTTTTGATTGTGTGTTGGTGACAGATGAGATCCGGCCGCCGCTCTCTCCCTCTGTCAGATCTCCTTCATTAGATTAGCTCCGTGTTAACTGGCCTGTGTCATATGGAAATCCTGCCATTTGCATCTCTTGAGAAAGAGGCGTAAAACCATTTATCTATTTAAATATATTCTGGCTGATATGGCTGTTGGACTTTAGAACAGGGTATAATGATGTTTACTGATGGACTGATCAGCTGGCTGCTGATTCCTCCCGGTTTTTGGTTCAGTGAACCGCCAGGTCCTCGTCAGCGAGCCTCCCATGGCAACCCGGCGTCAAGCTGCTGCTCCTCCGATTGGATCGCTCGCAACAAATCTGATATTATATCTGCTCTCCCTCTGATTGGATCCCGCTGTAATTAACTGATAATGCGGCTGCGCGTGATTGGCCTGAAGTTTGAGGATCGTTTGAAATTTTGAGCTTAGATGAAAGACGTTCTTGAAAGTGGGGGGATTGTCTAATCTGGAGTTTGTTGCATCTGTCGGACTGATGTCCAGGCTGACAAAAGGAGCAACATCTCTGCATTGTTCTGCAGCCGGCAGCTCACCCCACCCCTATCCTGTCTTTCGTGGAAAGGCGGCCTGAAGGCTCGATCCTAGAAGGAGCGGAGTAGTGGAGTTCAAAGCGTTATCACGCACCGAACGTCTTTTCATCATGTTTTAGAAACAAGCGTTCGCACTAATCCCCCAATAATCTCTCCAGGAGAACTGGGGCGATAAGGCGCGCCACCCACGGCTTTTCAAACACTTTTTGGTTAGTCTCTTCTCCTCGTCGATTCCTCCACTTCCCCCTCCCCGGAAGGACGAGTGAAGGTGATCGTCGTCTCCTCCTCCTCTTCTTTCCTCACTGACTCCGAGTCGGTTTGTTTACATCCTGATCCTGATCTTTCGAGTTTATCTGGACTCATCAACAGTGTTTCTCTGCCTCTCTGTTTCCCTCGTTCCTCCGCCCATCAAATTAGAATGTTAATTAAAACGATGCTCCTTCAGAAGATGACAAATCGATGATTACGGTGAGCGCTGAAGCACCTTCTGCGATGCCCCCCAGAAGAACGTCAAACACGAGGAACATTAAAGGGGATCTGGAGTGCTGGAGAAAGACTTTGTAGTGAAGTTGTGAGGGGAAAAAACGCATTCTAGGGTTTTGTGTGTTGGAAAATAACCAAAAACGCATCTAAAATCATTTAAGGGTAGGAAACACTCAACAGATTCAACAGTGACATTATTATCCCAAAGCTGATCGGGTTCATTGAGAAGTTTTGGCAGCTTTCTGTAGGTTGGAAAGTCGTCATAAATGTCCTTAGAGAAGCAACTGTTGCTGTCCATCAATCTGAGAAAGGATGGAAGGGCATAATTGAATGTAACTGAAACAATTAATTGAATTAATCGGGATTAATCAGTTACTGAAAAGAAAACGATTAATCACGGAGTATTCAGAGTTAAGAAAACAGGGAATTTGCTGAAAGAACAGCACACTCAGAGCAGTAAATAAGAAAAAACTGTACAAACGTGTCCCAGTTAATCAATTAATCACATGAAACCCATTTCGGCACGGATACAAGCTCCGTAGGGTGTTTGGGTTCTCCCTTAGAGATAAGGTGAGACGCTCGGTCATCCAGGAGGGACTCAGTAGAGCCGCTGCTCCTCCACATCGAGAGGAGCCAGTTCAGGCTCCTCTCGATGTTGAAAAGTTACTTATGAGTTAGTTTTGCCTCATTGAAAGTGTACAAAGATATTTGCACAGAAAACTAAACCAAAATTACTTGGTATTATTTTGTGTTTTTGTAGTGTAGATCCAGAGCCTCCCTGCAAAAACACAAAATCTTACCAAGTCTAGTTCAACAATAATAGGTTTTCAGCGAGAAATATGAGTTTGCTTTAAGTCAGTAATCGCTTAATATTGATTTTTTTAAAAGCACCAAATCCACTGGCAGATTATTTTCCTTAATTTTTTACTTATTTAACCAGGTAAACCATGTTGAGATCTAGATCTCATTTTCAAGAAGGATCTCACTGATAACAGAAGTTTCTTTCTCACGTTCTAAGTGAAACTAGGACTTTCTCATTAAATATTAAAATTTATTTTCTTAAAAGAGCTTGCTGAAAAGTTACTTGTATTAAGTTATTTACTGTAGAAACTAGACCAAAAATACTTGGTCAGATTTTGTGTTTTGATGGTTCATCCCACCAGTCCAGAGACGCTCACCTCTCTGACAGAAAAAAGAAAGATGAAAAAAAAAAGATGAAACTGATGGAGTGAAAACCGGGAGAGGAGGAGAAGGTTCATTAACAGAAGCCAAACCTGGCAGAGGAAAAGAAAAATGTGATCGGAAGAGAAGAAACACAGAAGAGGAGGTGCTCATCACTCAGCTGCAGTGACTGGCTGCTATC